AGTAAGGTTGCAGGTAGTGATTATCAGTTTCCAGGGCAGACGAAGACATTCCTCTTCTACAACTTTCCAAAGAAGTGTGGGACAGGAGATCTATGGTATTGTTTTCTGAGGTATGGAAAGGTTACAGACGTGTACGTGCCAGACAAGAAGGATAAGTGGGGAAAGAGGTTTGGCTTTGTCCATATGTTAGGGGTGAAAATGAGTACCAGATGGAGAGGAATCTTAATGAGATCTGGATTGGGTAGTATAAGGTACGAGTAAAACTTGCTGAAGATATGCATAGAAGAAAGATATGGTATTGGATGGCCTCACTTGCAGAAAATGGCAGAGGAAAGGCAAGCAAATTAGGCAGATTGGTCCAACCGGGATAGTCCTATGCACAAGCTATTGTTGTGGGAGATGGTTCATAGGTAGACGGGAGTAATAAGCGTGAAAGGCCATTCAGCGAGAAGGTAAAGGAAAAGTTGGTGGATAATGGAGATATGGTATTAAACCAGTATGCGAGGGAGATGGTGGGTTTTGATGATAAGAATGCTGGAATAGGAAGGTTGGTAAACGAGGGAGAAGTACCAATAAGGGGGGGTTTATTGAATTTTGTCCATTACAGGAGGAGGTTTAATGGCTTGAAGGGAGTATGGTGGCTGTTGTGAAGTCTTTGGAATCCATAACAGCTATTCAGGAAAGAATGGATGTGGATGGTGGGTTGATCAGTTTGTCACCATTAGGAGGAAGACAATTTTTGCTAATTGAACGTGTTCAAGGATATTTATCGGATTATAGGTAGCAAAATATGGAACTGTTAGATTTGTGGTTTGAATCAATATAGCAATGGGCAGAGGCACCTCAAACAAATGGAAGAATGATCTGGTTACGCATTAATGAGGTTCTGTTGAAGGCCTGGAGTGTTAGATGCTTTGAGAAGATTGGCAAATCAGTGGGCGAAGTGGTACGGATCCATGAAGACACGAGGAATAGAGTTATTTTGTCAGAGGGCAGAGTATTGGTTTTTAAGTTCAAAAGCTGGCACGATATCAAAGTCCATTACATTGAAAGTGAATGAAACTTTACTTGGGATGGTAGGTAAGGCAGTAGATGTAGAGGAAGATGATATCATCTGTCCAAAAAGGGTTTTTAGATTACCAATCGAAGGATGGACTGAGGTATCCTCATTGGTAGCAATTGTAGCAACCACGGGCTTGGAAGACTGATCAGGCTTTGATTGGGTCTTCCACTGATCAGATCCCTGAGGTAGTGGAGTAGTACAATTAGGAGCAATATGGCCTTTCTACTAGCATTTATGACATTCTGCCAAACTGCATTCATATATAGCATGTCCATATTGGTTATAGTGACGACAATGCTTCTATCTTCTCTTACTCAAAGGAAACTTGTTAATAGCTGTAGCCACAATATTATCTCGTTGAGGTTTAAGTAAGCCTAAATGAGTTTCATAAGATAATAGTTGTGAGAAAGCACTATCCAAGGTAGCTAAAAGAGACTAATGCAATAAAGAGGCTCTACATGATTCAAAATCATCAGTAAGTGCCATAAGAAATTGAATTAACCTCATTTTATAAGGATACTCAATGTACTTCCCAATGTTAGCAGTGTCATTGAAATTTGGTTCTAAGAGAGCAAGCTAATGCCAAATAGCCTCCATCTTAGCATAAAAACTAGCAATGGACTCTCCATGTTCTTGTTTCAAATTGTGTAACTCTTCCCACAATTGACATTGACTAAATAAATCAAAAGTGGTACACCTTGCTGCAAGTAAATCCCATACTTTCTTAGTTGTTTCATACCGTCCGAATTGAAGATGAATGGAAGGAATTGAGGTGTTACAAAACCAAGTGATGATCTAATGATTTGATGATTTTTGCTATCCCAGTCCTCCTCCAGACAGTCAACATATTTCTTATTTGTCTCATCAGCAATTTTTTATGGAAGTGTAATGTCATCGGTAATATACCGCCATAATTTCCAACCCTTCAAGAAACTGCACATACTTTGAGCCCAAAGTAGGTAATTTGAGCCATTGAGAATGGTTGAAATTGGTTGTGAAATATCAGATTTCTCCATAATTAAATAAAAAGAGGATATGCTGTAAAGAAAAGAAAATCTAACCGAGCAGAACACCAGGTTGAAGTGGAACACTAAAAAAGATGGGAGCGATTTTGGATGGCCAAGATCTATGCAGCAGAAATTTCGAACACACAACAGCAATCACAACAACCAAATCTGGGCGAAAGATCAAAGGAACCTGTAGGAGAAACAACAACAATCACAGCAACCAAATCCAGAACTAATTTGTGAGTGAAACACGATCAAAACAAACATCACTAGAAATGGTGTTGGTCTGAGAATGTGACTGGAACAAGTGATGCTGGCCGACACGAAAATGCTGCTGATGTGAAAAATTAAAAAGACAAAATCTCAAAGAAATAAAAGAGCTCACTAAGCTCTGATATCATGTGAGAAAACAATGCAGGAGAGAAAAATATGAAGGAAAATGACACTTTTTCTTGGTTTATTTGAATATACAAGGCGTCTATTTATAATTCTGTTTACAAGAATATTCTATAGTACAAAATTAATTAATCTAATTACGTCAATAAATTATAATGTAAATATAATCATAGCAATGTGAACATAATCAAGAATAATCTATAATACAGGTTTCGTGGTGCATCAATCTTCTTGTTCCTCTAATGAAGTTGATGATCTCTTGGTTGTGGGATTTGAAGTTCAGAATGAGGTTGTATGGTTTTTTATTTTTATTCTTTATATATGCTCTTATTATACACAAAATGTAATGTGTCTACTTGTACAGAAAGCTAAAACTATAAGGGGGTTTGTGTTTTTAACCTTGAAGTTCTTCAAAAGGTATTTAGCAAGTTGAGACACGCTGCCATGCTGATGATTGTTGTTTGGGAAGTACTGAACTTTCCTCAATAGAGTTTTATCAATAACTTTGTCCAGAACATGGATTCTTCCTTCGCTCCCATTTCATTGTTGTTTTTTTTAATATTGTTCTTAATATTGTTTTCCTTATAAATTTTCCATTTGCAGCACGGGGTAAGATACTGTAAGAGCTGTAGAGCATATGTGAAGGGGTTTGTGTTGAGAAAAATTGGCATGCGGAATAAATTAATTCCTGTGAACAAACACGTGAATAATAACAAATAGATGGTAAAACAGGTGGCTTAGCCGACCAATATTAACGGTTAGTGAAAAAGGCGACGTAGCTAGCCAAACAAAATAAATTGGGCAATTTAACCAGCCACTTAGGAAGAAAATAAAATGGGTGGTTTAACTAGCCACTTAAGAGGAAAAATAAATAATAAGATGACACCAAATTTTATGTGGAAAAACCCCCAAAAAACTATTGAGGGAAAAAACCATGGGACAAATATCGAAGGGTATTCCACTATATGATAAAATTGTACAAAGTATACATTCAAGTATTTTCTCTCTCTTGGTGTTTCCCACTCCCTCAAGATATGATCACAATTCTGATAAACTCACAATTTTATCATTCAATGTACTCTCTATAGAGCACACTCACACTTAAGCTTAATGCCTAACTCTCACTCCTTTTTTCTTTTTCACCCGAGCTCTCACTTTTGCTCACTTTGGTGCTGCACTCTTTGCTTCTGGCTTGCTTATTGCCTTGCCATTGCCTGCTATTTATAGGGTAAAAAACCCAACCACCCGGTGTAAGTTTTTTACCTCATTAAATGAGGTTCATCTACAATGGTTGAAATAACCGTTGTAAATATTCAACAATGGCTGTTGTAGCTTACAACCTTTTGCAATAGGGTGGTAGAAATGGGGTTGGACTTTCATGGGCTGGAACTAGAAGCTTCTGCCAACAGTTTGATCATCATTGTCCGGCTTTTGGTAAGAAAATTAAAACAGTTTTTCTGTGTGCCCTTGAATTTATCTTAAAACTTGAATAAATTATCTTAAACTGTGAATTACTGAATTATTTTTTGGAGGATGGTGATCTTTAAATGTTTCTGCGTGCTCTTGAATTTTTCTTAAAACTTGAAGAAATCATCTTAAACTATGACTAGCTGAATTAAATTTGGTGGATGATGATCTTTAAATGTTATTGCACATGCCAGAGTAATCATGTTCTCTTCATGGTTCTTCTTCTTGGATTTCTTACTACTGAAACTTCTTATATTGTCTGTGCATCGCAGTGTAAGCATATAACTGGCCATACCTGACATATATGTGTTCATATTTTTCACAAAGAAAAATGGAGAGAACATAGGTAAGAAGATGAAGGGCAGAACCCAACTAAAAAAATGAAGAGAAGACCAAGAGGAGCATAAACAAAAATGGAGAAGAAGTATATTACTTCAACTCAAAAATATCATTGATATTTTGCTATATTTATAGCAAGAAAAACATAATAAAGAAATAATTTCTTCTCACCTAATATTTTACGTAATGCAAGAAAATCTATCAAACATTTAAAACAAGATTACATTCAAAAGATTTGCTGCCATTTTGCAGCCCATATGCAGCTTCATGCTGTTGTCAGTTTGCTGCTACTGTGCAGTCATGTTGCAGCTCTCACGTCTTTCAATTTGCTTCCACTGCTGCAGCTTTGACACCACAACTCTAACACTCATCCTTGGTGTTAAAGTTGTAAAATCAAAACAAAAATAGATTTATGCTAAGCACCTGGGATCAGCCCTTTGTTGTCCATCTTGTGCTTGGTTTTCACATTTTTTCTCCATAGTCATGTACCATCCTTCTCAAACAACCTCAGCTCCTCCTTCATTACAACTTTCCTTCTTTGGATTTTGCTGCCTCAAACAAATTTTGGAGGTTTTTCAACTAAGTTGCATTTTCTGAGTAAATAAAACAAGGATTTTGGTACCTCAAAGTGTTGCTTCATCATCTTCTACATCTTCTATAGCTTTCTTGGGCTAAAGACTTGGCTACTCGGTCATGAAAATGACTTGATGCAATGTTGAGTACCCTCATGGTCCCAATCTGCACCTTCACAAGCCATCCTTGCCTTTTTTGGACTAATGTTGTAGCATAAAACACCACCCATACCAGCAACATAAAACATCATCAAACCAGCATTTTTTGATCTTGCTTCTTGCAGATCTTCTGCCTCAAGAAGATTGAATGACATTAAGTTAACCTTCAACTTCACAGCTTCACATACTCTCTTCTGCCTTAACAAATTGGTTGCATCCTTTTATCAACCACTTTCAAAGATTGAAGGACCTAAAGTTAACCTTCATCATCACAGCATCTTTGCTGCATTTTTGGTAAGAGGAGTTTGTTGTGTTGGGTCAGAAAAAAAAATATTTTGAAAGAAAAAACTTGCTGGAAACTATTTGGGTTTGGCCGGAGTTTATGGTGGTAGATTTCTCTCAAATCACTCTCATACAGGCGCTTAAAGATCATGAAAGGCTTTGATACCATGTTCATATTTTTCACAAAGAAAAATGGAGAGAACATAGGTAAGAAGATGAAGGGCAGAACCCAACTAAAAAAATGGAGAGAAAACCAGGATGAGCATAAACGAAAATGGAGAAGAAGTATATTACTTCAACTCAGAAATATCATTGATATTTTGCTATATTTATAGCAAGAAAAACATAATAAAAAATAATTTCTTCTCACCTAATATTTTACCTAATGCAAGAAAATCTATCAAACACTTAAAACAAGATTACATTCAAAAGATTTGCTGCCATTTTGCAGCCCATATGCAGCTTCATGCTGTTGTTAGTTTGCTGCTACTGTGCAGTCATGTTGCAGCTCTCACGTCTTTCAATTTGCTCCCACTGCTGCAGCTTTGACACCACAACTCTAACAATATGCTCAATGTTGGTATTGATGCCTTCCATTGCATGATTGTGAAGAATGGATAATCTTGATATTCAAAGGCTACCCTGTGTCTAGGACTGCTTCCTTTTACAGTTTTCATTTCCTTTGCTTGCATATTGTGGAAATGATATGCAGTTACCAGACAACCACTGGTTTTGGAAGGAATTCAGTTAAGGTAGGTTTTTGGCCTTCTAGCTTAATCTCTTGACTCTTCTTTGCATAAGCTATTAATCTCAATATTTTATGAAATTTTTCAATAGGCTAATCCCTCTGCAATATCCGCAAAGAGCACTATGATATTCTCCGTTCTCCAAGTGTTATGGCAGGTATTTTGTGTTTGCGCACAAGTATGCATGTAACAGCATTAAATGATATTTAGCTCCACGTGAAGACATCTGACCTGAACTTTTTTTCTGTATATACAGGGATTGTTTCTGGCATGGCATGTATATTGTGTATGCTTCAATATCAGAACTGATGAGTGGGTAAGTTCCTTAATAAGAGACAACAGGAAAGAGTTACTTACATCATCAAGAAAAGGGCTAAAACTAGGCTTTTGCCCACCTTGTTTTCAACTCTTTTATTAGTTTGCCACATCAATAATTTGAACTAGGATGTTTCTTCCTTTCATCCCCAGGTAAATTGGAAGAAATACCCAGAGTTTGAAATGAATGCTTAATCCCAATCTGGTAATTATATGACATAGATCCAGTTTTCTTTTTGATTTCAAAATATCTATACTGTTCCGTCGCATTTACTTTTGTTGGTTGTTTGGTCCTGTCCAGGGGAAAATCATGTCAGCATCAGATTTATAAATCCATATAATAAAGGGATTGTGGATAATGTGAAAGAGTTCTTAACATTAAATGTATAAAAATGTTAATTGATAAACTAGAGTTAAAAGAGTTGATGAAAATTTCTGGTAAGCAATGATTTTTGCCCAATTCTGGAATGAACTCTTGTATGCGCATTAGATGACCAAGAGAGAACAAAAGTCAATTATTTAGGGTATTTTATTCTATTACTTTTGCTTGAATGCTTGCTCTAGCACAAACACATGGGAGACAAACAGAGAAACGTACTGATAGGATGAGATTATTATTCTTTTTTAGCCTAAGATCTCAATGGGTTTGATCTCAGGTTTCTTTGTCCCCTCCTTAGGAACAGTGATAATGAGCACACCATTCTCCATGGTAGCCTTAACCTGATCCACCTTTGCATTCTTCAGCAACCTGAACCTCCTCAGGAACTTGCCACTGCTCCTCTCAACCCAGTGCCACTCATCATTTTTCTCCTCTCTCCACTGATCTGAAGAATCTTCCCTTGTTCAACCTCGACTTTCACCTCTTCTTTCTTCAGCTCCGGAAGGTCAGCCTTGAAGATATGTGCTTCCGGAGTCTCTTTCTAGTCAATCCTAGCATTGACAAAAGTTGAGGTTTCCTGTGCTGAAGAGGGCACGTTGGCAAGTCAAGAGTTGAAGAAACCATCAAATGGATCCCTAATGTCCAGAGAAAATGGATAGAAGATGTTAGTTCTTCAACCACCAAGAATCCTTGGAATGAGCGACATGATTGAATACCTTAAGGGAAAGAGGATAGCGTTGCTTTGATTCTTTTAACCAAGGATGTGTGAGGGGATGAGCAAGCTATATATAAAAGAGTATAAGAGAGGGTTGTGGGTTTCCATTATTCTGAGACTGGAAAAGAAAATTCTGGTAATTTCTTGCGTTCTAATTATGCCGTTAGCGAGTGGACAAGGAAGTTACATTAATTGTTTGCAAACTTCTACTAACTTCTACACTGTTTAGTCTACCGATGAGAAACTTTGTTCTAATTTACCAACTGGAAGAATTGAAGTGGCTGTACAGACTACGGTCATGGTTATTATAAAATTTATTAAAATTATTAAAAAATTAAAATTTTATTTTAATTTAATTATTAAAATAATTAATAATTAAGAAAAAAATTAATATTTATTATTTAATAAATTAAAAATATTTTAAATACTATGATTAATTATTTAAAAAAATTATAAAATTATAAAATTATAATTAAAATTAATAGTTTTAATAAATTTAATAGTAACAATTTTTTTTTGTACTAATCTTCAAGAATTCGATAATCAAATTCGACTAATTAAGAATTGAGTCGCGTCGGGTCTCATTAGAGAGAAATTCTTCCAGTATTTATTTTTTCATTTATAAAATTCAAACTAAAACTTTTATTTAAAAAAAATCAAATTCTTTCCACTCGAATCAATACGTTATTAATAATTTAATAATAACAATACACATGATGTTAAAGTAAATGTTAACGTAACTAGATCAACCTAGGGAAGTTATTCGCTTATTCTACATATCTCGTGGAATTAGGTCATCTTGGGCCGCCCTAAGGGCCATTTTACTTGTCCCCCCTTTTTTTCCCTTTTTTTTTAATTTATTTTTTAAGAATTGAAGTATTTTAATCGCTAAGTTACAGTTATTTCCAAAAACGCCCTTTGGCTGCCACTTAAGAAACACGGTCTATGCGCAAAATTGGTCATGACTCAAGTTGGAACGGTTGAGTCTTTAAGTCAGTTCACTGAAAAAAAAAAAGTTATTCTTTTTATCTTAAAATAATAAATTTTTAAATTTAAAATTTATTCTAAAATAATAGTTATTTTTTTATATTTTAAGAGATAAATATTTTTTTCTATTTAACTTATGATTATTT